AAAAGAGCTTACCTTTAACAGGAGTTACGGCACCATATATTCTCCAATCAAATTCTGATGGAAGCTTAGTACGTTCGATAAACTTAAATGGAAAAGGTTCGCCGCCATTGCTACCACCCGAATATTTCCTGCCTCTCAAGGCTTTCAATTCTAGTTCGGTCCTATCAGCCAAATGATTGACCCCTAACGTGAAACCTATACAAACCAGTGTTAGCAACGAAAGCGGCATCAGACCAAGTTCACCTTTATGCTGCCTATTGACCGAATGGATAAATCTCAAATTTTGACGGAAGACATTTTTACGCTGTTCCTCGTCTAAATGATGCTTATAATCCTTGCCGTGTTTATTCCTGAATTTATCAAATTCGAAATCTACATGGCTGGTAGTGGTAGGATGAATAAATTCTTTCATGGGATTAAAAGTGTAAATATGTCGATCACCTGGACCCGGAAATGCACTGCAAGGCAAACCTGGGAAATAAACAGTATAAATTAATTCTTTCTCACCCAAATCAGGTGAAGTAATCAATTTTGGTTACTACTGTTCTGTGAAGCTCTCAGCTAATTTCACAGACATATGAGTACACAATACAGTTTTGAAAGAATAAATGAAGCACAAAATGCCACCTCGGTTTTTAATACAATCGTACAAAGTGATAATACCTTCATCCGCTTGAAACACAGCTGGGTCTATATTTTCGGTATTGTAATCTTCGTATCGTAAGTAGTAATGATCATAATGGCTTCCGAGCAAAGAATTGAAACCTTTCATTTCATATCTAGAAAACATTTTCCTTTAATAAACATGATAACATTGAGCTAACTTTATACTTGATAGGAATGGCATATTTTGCTTCGGGCTTGTCGTTGTCATCTCGAAACTTGAGCCACATCGAATAACGATTTACTTTTTGTCCAATCGTTTGGACTAACTGCCACTTTTCCGTTTGAACCCCTTCCACCATTTCCACTCCTGGTTACATTTACATATAAAATCACAAGGTATTTAATAATAATAATGCTTTATTTGCCCAACAGGAACAGGACAAATGCGAAAATACATAATGAAAGCTATCTTACCGATGCATTTGAATCCATCGAGGTTTGGTAGAACAGATTGTGGCTCAATCTTAATGTCCTTAGTGCCATTAACTTGTAAGCATGTCTTGCTGTTTAATTCTGTTTCGGTGGTAACGGGAGCAATCTTTAGACTTGTTCCGAAAGCGCCACTATTGGTCAATTGAAATGTTTTTACCATTCCTCCATAATAATCAATTCGTGATCGCTGAGATGGATAATCGTACCTAATTTGGAAGTGTTTATTTTTGAAAAAGTGAAAAATGATTTACCAAGCAGAAAATGGCTCTTCCAACTCAGCATATGGTATGTAAAGAACCCCTCTAACTGAGTAGATAGAGTTCCATACTGGAGGCTTAATCAACACACATTGGGATTTCGCTAAAAATTGTAATTTAGTTAATTGTGTGAGAGATAAAAAATCGCTTTACCTTCCAAAAAAGGAACTGTTATAACAAACAAATAGAACAAAGATATCATTCTTCAAAGTTTATTGCAATAAGTTAAACTGAACATTGATCAGCCAGTAAATATTATTTCTTACAAAACCAATAAATTACTGATAACACAATATGAGGAGGGGAGGAAAGAATAACGTTGTCTGTGAGCAATCAATAACAGTGTAACATCAAAAATGCTTTCCATGGAAGATAATTTTTATGTATGAAGCTATGTCCATACAGAATAAATGATCTGTGATTAAAGGTTATCATTAACAAAAATGTATGCAATTTCTACATGTTTAATACAATACAAATTAAGCTACAGATTGTCTCATATAACTACTTTCCTCTTCAGAGAATCCTTGGACACTAGGAATTCTCGCCGAATTCTGAAATAAAAAATTGCCTTTACTGAAAACAAATTGTTAACACAAATCATAAAAAAAAACTTGCTGCTTTGGGAAATGTTAATTTATAATCACGATTATTTTATGCTGCGTGTCAGCACGAAATTCTACTACGTTTTTTAAAGTAATAATATAAAATATAATGCAGGGTGTATCTCTTCGAGCCATACAACTCTTCACTACGCGATTCCGCATTAATTTCGAATAAAAATGCTCCTCTAGATGACTCCTTCAGAAAGTATAAGCCATCCTAGTTTACATAACAAACTGCAAATATATAACTATGATTCAGTACACCAAAAAGTAAAAATCTGCAATTATATCGGAGTTTGAAGAGTGTTACACTTATGGATAAACAAGATTATTAATCTTCAGGTTACACTTCTATGTAGATTTTTAAAATGTGGCATCAATGCCATTGACTTTTTCACGTAAAAAGTCTATCTAGAATTCGGGCGAGTCCGGCGCGTCCGCTCTGTTTGAACGCTTACCTTAAGTGGACTCTGTATGCAGAGTGAATATTTTTAACATGACGGTATCCATTATTCTCTACGTTATAAACGCGATATTAGAACAATAGGTTTTTTGTACAGTGAGACAACGATCGCGCGGAGTAACTCTATGCCTCGAAGATAAGATTTTTCGATAAAGTGCTCTTGTATTATGATATAGTTGAATATTCTCCACATTTTAAAAATATTTTTAATTATACAGGGTGTGTTCACAAAGTAGGGCGCTAAAAAGTAATTTTTTTAAATGGAACCCCCTGTATTTGAATGCATTTTTTAATTCTACGTGTAATTGCACGACTTTTTTTATTATATGTTTTATATATGAAGAACTTGTAGTTTAAAAGATAGTTTGATTTGGCATTTGCAAGGGTCTGTTTATTGTCAAAATTACTATGTACTTAAATTTTAATTCCAAGTTCTATATCGTTTATTCTGGTTAAAGTAAAAGTCAAATAAATACATGTACCATGAAACAATTAAAAATAATTTTACAGGGTATTTTGTTTGTAGACCCAAAGTCACTTTTTTGAAATGGAACACCCTGTTTTGATTTTGTCATTTAGAAGTAGACATAGGGAAAAACAATACATGTAAATCCCAGTCTACTTCTTAATTAATATCACTGTATATAAATAGCAGGTATTAAAAGAACATTGTTTTCTTGATGACAATGAAGAAGTTTCAATAAATGATACCGTGTAAATTATTTTATCATTTCTTCGCAGATTGGCATTAAATTGAAATCTGAAACTGCTCTTTTCACTACTGGAGTGTAGGCTAAAAACTAGCAAATCTATGTTTATATTTCAAAAATTAAGCGAAATTACCAACTGAATCAAAATCATACCAAAGTTTTTGCTCGTTCTTCAATGATACTATATGCAACATGATTCAGCACAATGCATCTAGGCAAGGCAACTCCTTGAAACCTGTAAATGGGACCGCCCGGTATGTCTGTATCCAATTTAAATACACTGGCAATCGTTATTCTTCCTAAATGGTTACTGCTTGTAACCATAGGTCCTTTGGATATATCTACATGATCACCAACTCTAAACAGTGTAACTTTCCCTTTATTAGACGCAGCAATGTTAGGTATTTGTTTCGTTTTATGCTCATTATTGTGAAAAATGGAAAGTGCGCACTCAACAGACACATCCAAGCAACGAATTTGATAATTTTGCTGACAGAACTTAACCATTTCCGCAGATAAAACACGCAGTTCACTTTCCGTCGGCGTCCAATTCTCTAACTCGATCTGTGCATCATAAATGAAACTACCAGAGCGTACTAAAAACAATCATCTTAGACCGGTGCACTCTCTCAGTACAAATTTACCATTGGGACTGGGGAAGCTGTGTAAATGTACCTTAAGTGAGTCTTTAAATGCATTATTAATAACGGCACCCAATATGAAGCTACATGTCCTCCAAAAGGCTCTATTAACCAAAGCGGGTTGCGGTATGTTGTAATGTAATAACTCTAAATTGCACGAATCTTGCAATGGCTTGTGCATATGCCACGGTTCTCCATTTACCAAAGCCAAAGCCGACCTATTTGTCACCATTTCACCTAAATCTATAAACCAGATGATATTTAGTTAACACGAGCTACAATGCAAAACGAACGTTTGGCACAATCGTACGGAGTTGATATTTCCTTGTTCATAACTAAAGTTGTGTCTTCGGGAACTCCCAAGTAATTAACGGTAATCTTTTCAATGCGCCCGATTTCGGCCTTCTGTCTTTTACTTTCCATATAAAATAACTCACTCTGTCGCTTCGCTTCATCTGAACTGATAACAGAAGTTTGCACATTCCCTAAAATTCGATGAGAGTATAATTAGGTTCAGGGTAAACTATACTAACTGTGAATAATTTTTTGGTATTGCGAGGTTATTAAAAATGAACCAGTTTTATGCAGAGACTGAAGTTTCATGTTTATTTATATTTTGCATATAATATAATAGAGCTTATATTTTAAGGTTATGTTAAATTCTCTGGAATCAGTTGTGCGGTGTCTATTGGTACGTTTCTTGACATATACAAGGTCGCGAGATCCAGAATGGAATAAAGATTTTAGTTTTACCATTGATTATACACACCAATGAATTTACCAAATTGCATTTCCGTTCATTTATTATAGCCGTATGCATCGACAATGGTTGCCATGGATTACAAGCAACGCTTAAACTAAGCTCCGCTTAAATTTGACGATGCATATGCATATGCATACAGCCATTGAATTTGATAGTTATAAATTCAATGATACAGCCATAAGAGACAACATTCAGAAAAGAGGAGCTGTGAATGATCGAACAAAGCACCGAAAATACCCAATGTAAGAGCAAGAGCCAAGAAAACCCTATAATAGAGTCATGCAAAACCCTCAAAGATGAAAGAAGCATAAACGAGGATCAAGAAGTTCAAAGGGTAGGTTTAACCAAAACGGAGAGAAACTCCCATCCCTGTTACATCAAGGTGTATAGTGTGTAGCCTACTATTTAACTTTGATAATAATCTGACAACGCTGTATCAAATTATCAATCACATCCACAACCACATCCAGATTTCAAATATTAATGACGGTTACAAAATGTCACTTTAGTTTATTATAAAATTTCTTTAAAATCCGAAAAAATGTTTATAAACGACGTAACTAAAAAAGAAGAAATAAAGAACATCGCAGTAAAACATTTACGTGAAATTGGTGTTAAATACAGACCTAAAAAACTTCGTAACGTGCAGGTTAATATAATACTCTCTGCAAAAGTGTTTTTACATAATTTTATTCGTAGGAGGAAAGAATCGGTCGCCAGTGCTTTAAAACGGCATTATGCCTATTGCCCATGCAAACGGTAACGCTAGCAAGTGGTCAGCAATTAGTAGTTCCTAAACTAGTCGACGATCTGTGTTCGTACATACTAACAAAGGTGACGACGGAAGGTCTCTTTCGTAAAGGCGGGTCTAAAGCTAGACAGAACGAGATGAAGGTATAACTTTAATTTTTAACGTGGAGTGATGTGTTTATTTTAGTTGCTCTTGGATTCCGGATCTTACTTGGGACAGACTCATCATGAAATTGACGTCGCAAATGTACTGAAAACGTTCTTTAGAGAGCTGCCGGAGCCATTATTTCCATACGCCTTTCATGAACTTTTTCTTCATTGTGTTTTGTCTAGTCAACAACTTCAAGCATTAATGCTATCTTGTCTTTTACTTCCGACCGAACATCTAAATACTTTGGCGTATTTTATGCAGGTGATTGTGTTTATTACGATTGCTGTAATTTAATCTCGACCTTTAGTTTTTACGCGAAGTGAGTCAACATTCTTCATTGAATAAAATGGATTCTCATAATTTAGCGATAGTAATGGGGCCTACGTTATTTCCAATTGAAGAAAAGTCGGCTTTCAATTCTGCACAAAGATTAACGAAATTTTGTGATATATGTAAAGTATGTATTCGTCTCTAAATATTGTTATGCCATTAATCGTTGTTCTAGTTGCTTATAGAAAACGCATCTGATATTGGTTTTATTTCCGATCGTATAATCGATCAAATAGCTCCTACTTCTCTTTCTGCAGATTTAGTTTCGTGTGATGAAGTAAATAAAAAGAAAAAGAAGCGCAGAAGTGGCTCTTTGACACGTAAGTTCCGCCCTTGGGTTTTACGCACACAAATTGTTTTATGTATAAATCGTAGGTATGTTTAATGGATTAAGAAAGATTGTTAGCAGCAAGTCGATCGACACCTCTTCCAAATCTCCAGATCTTTTACAAACGCCTAATATAAAAGTGTCTGATCGTAAACGAAGATTAGACATTCAAGCTTTTTCAAATAAGAAAAAGTGAGTAGTTATGGGGAAATAGTACGTGTTCCTTGATTATGATAATTTTCAGACACACGTTGATTCAAAGCCTTCCTCAGCACACCGCCTTAAGCACACCGATTAGTATCCATCCAAAGTAAGTTGAAAAGCAACTCATTAAAAGTGCATGATTTGAAAAGTAATTGTAGCTTGACTTTTTTTTAATAAGCGACTTTCTCATTTATAGTCCAAAAAAGAATCCATCTCCAAAATCGACAAATACAAATAATAGGTAAGTACAAATCGATTGTACAGGGTGACCAAATCAGAATGGCATATTGCTGTATCGGAAAGTAACAAAATAGAGCTTTCGTTTCGCAAGAACACTAGCAGAAATCTTAAGAGAAAAAACTGCGCTATTTTTTTTTATTGCTTTACCATTGCCTAATTAGTAGAATTAATTGGCTGCGAAAATGGTGTTTGGGTTATTTAAAATGTCGCAATATTCTAAAAATCGCTAAGAAAGTTAATTCCGAGCAGACTACTGTATTTTACTGTGGAACTGAACTTCGCCCCATTTCACCATTTTAAATTGTATTGTAAGGCAGTATTATTATTATTATTATGGTCGGTGTTTCTTGTGAGAACTCAGGTCTAGCCTGGTTAACTAATCGCACGGATTAAAATCAAGTAACGATTAGTGTCTGTGTCTGTCTGGTGAAGTTATGTAGGGT